TGTTACTATTGTTGTTGTTTATTATTGTTATTTATAATTTGTACAACTAACCTCCATGTGGTTCGACTCCGGTCTTGCCGAGTTATTTATTACTTCGACACTCCTGCATATGGAAGAAGACATTAATCTTTTAGTCTTGTCAAGCTAAGATCATAATTGCAATTGAGTTTACATAACGATAACATGTACTAAGCTACCAAGACTATATAAATAAGCAAAACCTCACACACAATAATAATTGCTAAAATCAAAGTTTATCTCCTAAAAAAGCTTAAATACAAGTTAAATAATTTTATTTATAATAGGTAAAACTTTCTAACTATTGATGAAAAAATAATAAAAGGGTTCAAAATAAAATAAAATAAAATAATCTTAAATCAACTAGAAAATTAATACAATTCTCGCATATTAGTTTTTGGATCTTATTTCAAAGCCTTTATGATGTTTGATTGCCATGATATTTTAAATTAATATATAATAAGACCTCTAGAAATATTTGGTAAAATTTCATCTTGATCCAGTAGTCAAATAAAAAACTATGTTTATTAGAGTAAAATTATGCATTAAAAAAAGGCCTCTAATTGCTAAAAATAATTAGCTCATAAAGTCGATGTATCAAGCCCCTCTTATGCATGAATTAAATTGAATAAGTTATGTTTTATTGTACTAGTATCAACTCACCACTGCTCAGGATTTTGTATCAGGTTTATTTAGAAAACAACATCGAACATGTTCATTTATGAAACTTCATTCGCAAGGCTATCAACCTTGTTAATATTGGCTTTAACGATCATTATCTTTTTTGGATTACTTTGTTGAGCCATAAATTTGCAACCATTGGCTTGGTGCCTTCTCTTATTGTATCATTTACTATTAAATATTTTTGGCAATATTTTTTTTTTAACAGCAAATTTTGCCTTAGACCCTATATTGGAAGAGTTAGCTTCTCTTTTGAATAACTCATTTTCTTTCTCTAATCTTAGTATGAAGATGAGGTCTTCAACCCTTATTTTTTTGCTTTTATATATATGGTAATTCTTGAATTCTTTCAAAGATAATGGCAATTCTTTAATAATTGTAGCCACTTGGAATGTTCACTATTAACCATATATATGTGATATCTATCATGTTATGTGAGTTGAAACTCTGAAACTTAACTTAAAATGATCCTTAAGTCAACCATCTTGAATTTAAAAAAATTTCATTTATAAACTTTTTCATAACAGCAATTCCAACCTTAAATATTTTGTCCAAAACTTTTCAAAGTGTCTTTGCACTCTTGATTTAATTATACGCATCATATTTTGTACCAACTATGTAACATGTGCTTCACCATGGGTTACATTAAAAAAAATTAAAGTGTAAATTGAAAAGTTTGTGTAAGCATCTAATTAAATAAATCGATAGTCATTTTTTAAATAAACAAAAAAAAGTCATTAACAATAAAAAAAAATTAAGAAATAAATGTAGATCAAGATATTCAATCATATAAAATGAAAAACTCACTAGATTGTGTTTGCTAAACTTATTTATTTACATCAATGAAAAATAAATTCACCCTAAAAAACCAACGACTTAAGATAAATACAAATGAAATTGACTGAATAAACCCACACCAAAAAAATATTAAGCAGGGTCAAATACATCAACAATATTATTTTAAAATGAATATTTTTTTCAAAAATAAATTTAATTTTTATAAAAAAAATATATAAATAAAAAAAGGCATGAAAAACACATGACTTGATTCATAAGATTGAAATAAATGCATAAAAATATTGAAGATAATCACAAAACCAATACTAGAAAAAGAACCTAATGTAAAACAATAAGATTATACAAAGTTGAATTCCCAACAAATTAAATGTCAAAAAATAAAATCAGAAAAAAAAAATTAATTACACAAAATGATTTAAAACCATTAGGGTGAAAAAAAACATTTATTAGAGGGATAAAAAAATTTAATTGGAGGATTAAATTGAATTGAAAAATAGATATAATAAAAGAAAAACAAATAAAAAAATGATGGTCAAACTAGAAAAAAAAATAAAAAAATTAATTAAATAATGAAATTGAAAGATAAAAAATTTCAATAACAGCACCAACAAGAATTAAAAAAAAGCATCAAAATGAAAGGAAAAAAAAACATATGAATTAGGGATTGTAATTTAATATGAACCCAATGGATAATGGATAGAGTGTGAATATTATTAAACCCGACCTGAAACTCACCCGAGCCTAACCTGAAATATATATTTATATTATATAAATATACTTGTAGAACATTTAGATTTGTTTTTAATACAATATAATATATGTATACCTTAATATTGATATAAAATACACATATACGAACAATATTTAGAATTTATCATTTAATATAAATAAAATAGTTTGTGCGTAAAAAAACTATTTTATTTTTATTACATAATAAATGACAGTAGATAATAGATATTCATTGGATACTCAAAACTAGATGGATAGTTTATGAATATCTAAATTTCTTACCCGATGGATAATGGGTAGAGTATAGATATTAAGAAATACAACTTATGGGCACCTATTGCTATCTAAATTGAAGAGAAAAAAACATTCTATAAAAGGAATTAGAACTAAATAAGAAATAAAAAAAAAACACTAAAATTGAAAAAAAAAACATATGGAAAATTGTGATTAAAGAATTAAAATGAAAAGAAAAAAAACTTCTATAAATAAACTAAAAAGAAAATAAGAAATGAAAAGACTAACGACTAAAATCAAAAAGTTAAAAAAAAAGGACAACTATATAAATTACCTATTAGGAGAGAGAAAACAAAATGAAAATAAAATAACTACCCGTGACAATCCAACCACCATTAGACATCATGTGCCACTTCAAATTAAAAAGGACATGGTGGAATGTCCAAAGAGATGGTGGAAGGTTATTTTTGGTCATCGAGTGGAGTTTCACATGTTGTTGAAATGGTATGAGCGCCACCGTTCGCTGATGCATTTTGAGCAAACACTAATAGCTTTTTTCTTTGAAAAATATAACTCAATTATCCATTTATAAGTATTGAACCTAAAATCTAAATAATAAAAAAAATTTAAAATTTAAATCATGTGACTTGTAAACGGGAAATCTATTAAGATATTATTTAAAAAAATATAGAGAAATTGATTAGATTCTTTCTTTCATTGATTGAAAGAAATAATTTTTTTATGGGTGAGACCCAAGATCAAATTTTAGTTAACAAAAATAATATTTTGTAGCTCAAAATAGTATTTTATAATAAATTTAAATTCAAACTTGATTCAAGAATGAAAATTGGATTTAAGTCTAAAATCTACTTTACATAGAATTTATTTCCTCTTAAAGGTTTGTTGTTTTTTTAACTCAATTTTAACTAATTAATTTTCTATTTTATATATAAAAAAATCTTATGTGAAATGGATCTTTTTTAAGAAGTTTCAAGTTTCACTAAAAATATTTAAACCAAGAATTTTTTTAAATTAATTTTTTATTCACCCATAATTTATTTAAAACACATTGAGGTTTCATATTAAAAAATATATATTTAAAATTAAATTCTAACAAAATTTGTATAATAAAAATAAATGCACCCTATTTTTAATTCAATCTCAAATATACTCTTTAAGCATGCCCTTATACAAAATTTCCAACATTTCTAAATTCAATTGAAAGTAAGAAAGACAACATCAATGTAATGTTGAAATTTTATTTATATATATATGCACACACATATATAATTAAAGAGAAAACAAAGAAAGAAAGAAAGAAAGAAATGGAGCTGATCAGTATAAATGTTAAATATGCATCCAACTCGCATACAAAATACAAAAAGAGTAAATAGATTAACAATATATCTAAAGAAAGATAAAGCCTTCCAAGGAAACAAGTGGGTTCTCAAGAGACTCGTTTCCCTCCTGCCGCTGCTGCATCAGAACGGTGCCGTTTACGGTCTCCTCCTTCTTCCTCTCCACTGACCTCCCACCGGCTTCTGCAGTTACCTTTCCAGGACTCGCTCCGACACGACCCCTCCCAACTCCACCTGCCGTCCTAGTCCCCGGTGACCTTCCAAAATCCCTCCTGACACCACTGGACCCCACATTACGCTGCCCAGCTGCAGTCCTGATTATCACCTGACCGGTCGTCTTCGCCGGAGGTTTCGGCACCCTTTCTCTGTCTCCGGTGTGCGGACGCTTTTTTCGTACTTTGGCAGGAGATTTGTTGACCCTTTTCTTGCTTGTAACCTCGTCTTCTCTTATGTCTGTTATTGTAGTGGTGGTGGCGGCAGTGGTCGTAGTTGCTGTTGAGAGAGTGTCATTGACATTGTTGCATATTTCTGATGCTTGAGAGATTTCCTGGTCCTCTTGATGTTTCTTATTGTTTTTTTGTGTTAGGATTTTTGGTTCTTGGGGTTGTGTTGTTGTTGCTGCTGCTGTTGTTGATACTAGAGTAGTTTTCTGTGTTTTGACGATAATGGGGGTTTCCGAGAGGACTTCTTTGACTGTTTCTTCTTCAAGTGGTGGTGGGGTTCTTGTGGCGGTGACATTGGGTTTGTGGGGTGGTGGCGGTGAATGGTGATGGTGGCGGCTTGGTGGTTTTGGGTGACTTGGTCCTCTTTTGGTGGTGTCGGTGTAGCTAAAACAGCAACCCATTAGGCGGGGGGAGAGAGAATGAGATGATGTCGGAATTTGCAGTTTGTGTAGTTTTGAAAAATCTGGGTCGTAACGGCTATTAAATGTACACTTTCTAATTACTGGTGGTTAAGCTAGAAATGACAACTGAGAAGGCCTACCAAACAATTAAAATGGGATATGATAATAGATACGTGCTAGATGGATAAAAGGGACTTTTTCTTCATTATAATAAATTAAAATGATAGAATATCAAATAAAATTAATAAGATAAGATAGTTTTATATTATCTTATTTCTAAAATGTAATATTTACAGGATATTATTATTTATAAACTTGATAAAATAATTTTTGTGTTTTAAAATAATAATATTTAAATATATCATATTTTTAAAACATAATAATTATTAATCTGTCAGCTTGTTAGATGCAATTTTATAATTAATAAATCATTTCATATAAAAAAAATTATAATTATATAATTTTTTTTAAAGTTAATAAATCATTTCATATAAAAAAATTATAATTATATAATTTTTTAAAAAATATATTTATAAGTCTAGATTTAGAAGAAGATCTAGTTGCACCGAATCAAAATATTATATCAAAAAAATTATAATCTAGTTGCACCAAATCAAAATATTATATCAAAAAAATTATAATTTTTTATTTAACCATTTAATTAATTTCTAATTTGATTAATTTCTAATTTGTATAGGATGTTTCAAAGGCTTTTTTTTTTACAACAGCATGAAATCATTATTCCGACCATTAGATTTTTAGCTTTCTAGTTGGTTTTGATAGTATTTTTACTTTTCTTACAAATCAATCAATTAATCTTGAATTTAAATAAATATTTTTTATGAACTGAAATGTAAATTAAAAAAAAATAATGTTCTCAACATGATATTAAAAAATATGATATTTTATTAAATATTTTTTTATATGTTATTTCACTATATATTTACATTTTAAATGCTAATTGTACAATTTATGGAGATAAATGGCCACAGAGGACAGATAAAAGTGAGCTAATGAAGTTGCTGTGGGGTTTTGATTGAAGCTCCAGGGAGTGTGGGGTTTGGGAGGCCTGCTGGGTATTATGAGAGATTGATGGGACAGATCGGATGTAATTATGTGAAGACTCTAGAAGAGATTTTATTAGACTGCTGGCACATTACATCTCAATAAAAACGGAAGCTTTGATGCTTTCACCGAGTGAAATCGACATTTGCCAAAAAAAAAAAATACTGTTGTTATTTAAAAAAATATAAATCATGGCTTTTCTTAACTATAATCTATTTGGAATTAGAACCTAAAGAAGGGGTTATCAAAATTTAATTTTTTAAATTATTTTTTTATATATTTTTAAATTAATTTAATATACTAATATCAAAAATAATTTTTCAAAGAATAAAATAAATATTATTTTAATATATATATTAAACAAAAAAAATACTTTAAAGACAAGAATTATTACCTCCAACACTCTCAAAATGCTAAAAGTTAAAGACTTGAAAGTCCTATTATTGCCCCAAACTACAGAATTGTCTGTTATCTCGATGCTCTCTCCTTTCGAGGATTCAGGGATCCACACATCAAACTTGGCTTGCACTTTGAAGGGCTAAGATCTTGGATTGGACAATTGAGAGTAAAGAGGGGACATTTGTGTACCATAAAATTTTCATTAGACTTCTAGTTTGAGTCCTTTTGCATTGCGTGCAAGGTAAATTACCTAAACAAAGAAACCGTATCCAAAATCAAAGTTTTCTTCTTGTCGGCCTTGAAAACTGCAATTCCAAACCAATTTCCAAAACTAAAAACAAACCCATTTTAAAACGATGAGGAAACAAGGTGCACAAGCTAATGGACCACCCGAGGATGGAATAGACCAGCTGTTACTTGGAGGTGCCAAACGCTCATGGCATGTATACTCCGAGCCAGTGCCAATGGATGAAAAAAGAGAAATTTTATTAGGAAAAATAATGAGAACAAGGGACAAGTGGTTAAGCACAACAGACTGAATTTACAACAGCAGCAGAATAGAAAGACCTCGAGCTCATGCAACCTTGAGGATGATCTGCGAGGTTGGCCTCTTACAACTTGGTAACAAATTGCTTTAGACATCTGCCAAAGCTCATCGAGTTTCGGGTCCCTATAAATGATAAACAAATGCACAAGCCAATCCATTTGCAGTGAAATACAATAAAAAGAGCATCCATCAGGAGATAGGAAGCTGCGAGGAGGCAGACCGATCGGATTCTATCATGGATTTGATGTAGAATTCACCAGCCTTGTATGATGACCTAACCATGGGACCAGATGCCACATATCGAAATCCCTGATTCATCCAAAGATAATAAGAATCACACAAGTTGTAGTGCCAGCTACAGGCAAATTCAACAAAGGATGCTGCATCTGCCAAGTAATAACCAATGAATATCCAGTATTGTGGCTGGCATCACTTATCAAATATTAATACAAGTACATGGAACATCCACAGATCAGATCAATATCATTAGATGTAGTAATACTTCCAGCAGTATACTGAGAAACTGAGAAGGCTAAATATCATTTCTATTTGTAAGGGTTATTTAGACAGTCAACAGTTGTGTCATACATGATGCTGGCAGCTTATTTATCATAACAGAAAACAGGTACACCGCCGACAAGCCAAAGAACTTTGAACATATTTCTTTGACCAGGGAAATGACAGCATCCACTGTGTTTAATGCATTAAACCAGCAATGATTGTACATATATATAGATAAAGGTGGCCCCTATCAGGAGTTCAGCTGTTACCACTACTCATAGTAGGATTAAAGAACCACCGCTTGAAATCCAGTTTATCACAGTACAAACAGTCAGACAATGGCAAGGAAGAAATTGCAAACATATTCAGATTTACAACCTCATCCCATAAAATTAGTTCCCAGCAGAGCTAAAGACTGGGATCAAGGAAACCAATCAGTAATATATGTACTTATATATATATATAAAAGGCATCCAACTTTAACAAATGAATTAGTATCTAATAATCACAAATTAATTTATGTGGATGCGTCTTCCAGGCAACCAAATTAGGTCACCCGCAAACCTCAAGCTCTCAATCAAAGAATTGAAACCAGAAAATGAAACAAGAGAGAAGCAACAGAAAAAAGAATATATAAAAGTCGGCTGGGTTCAAAATGGTGCTTTCATCTGCAATACTTGAATAGTCCTTCCGACATACAATACTTCTCCAAATTACAAATAGATTGGTGCAAGTGGCAGAGTAAGGACATATTTTAAAGGAATATCAAAGATACAGCAATGTACATGCATGCAATCTATCTTTAATGAATCCAGATAAAGCTCAAAGCATAATTGACAATAATATCAAGAACATTAACAATAACAGCCAAAAACTTAGCTTCAATAAACATCAAAAGATGCACAAAGTCTTAAATTTATAAAAATTAAGGGATTTAGGAACAAAATAAAACCCTAAGAAGCCATTGCACTGTTACTCGTATAAAAAACCTAAATCTATGTAGCGAAATTAATAACAGCATGGAAGACAGCCGCCCATCTCCTCAACTCACTGCCACTGATTCATCCTCTAGCATACATAGAATCAGTTATTTAAAAAGTCAAATAGATTGATACACTATGTGTGCTTTCCTTCATGGAACAAAATTAGATTCGCCACCAAATACAGAACTAAAATGGAGAGAATCTGGAGTTAACAATAGCTGCCATTAAAATATTTTTGAGTGAACGAACAGCAATTCATAACTTTAAAAAAGAGCGTAACTAACTCACAAATAGACAAAACAGTCCATTCCTTGATCCATTATTTTTGTTAATGGCATAAAAACAATCTAGATCACACAATACAAGGGGATTTCTAGTTTGCAATTTAACCAAAACTGAAATCATGTGCATAAATCACAATTTAAAAAAATACAAGTCAGAAACATACCATTTCCATGCCAAGTGTTCTATACTTCTCGAAAGCATCAGGGGTAATGTATTCAGATACTGGCATATGACGTTTAGATGGTCTCATATACTGGCCAAACGTCATCACATCAATACCTGCAGCTCTCACCTTTTCCATTGTTTTCACAACTTGTTCAGGCGTTTCCCCACAACCCAACATTATTGAAGTCTTGGTAAGTGTCCCAGCTGGAGCATATTCTTTAGCCATAAGTAAAACATCTAAAGATTGCTTAAAATTAGCACGATGATCCCGTACAGAACTTTGAAGCTCTTCAACTGTTTCAATGTTGTGAGCAAAGACATCCAGTCCTGATGTTGCAACTTTCTCTACACAACCACGGTCTCCTCGAAAATCAGGAACTACACCAAAACATTGCAAACAACATTAGAAAAGCACAATAACATGTTTGAACCTGACAAAATCCAAAATGCCAAGCTAATTATACATGCCTAAGGCTTCGATAAGCATGTTTGGCTTGAGTGTCTTCAACTTCCGCACAGTTTCCGCAAAATGACCACTCCCTTGATCAGTCAAATCATCACGATCCACACTCGTGATCACAACATAATCCAAACCCCACGACGCAATTGCCTCTGCCACATTAGTTGGCTCATTCGGGTCAGGCGGAGGAGGCGTCCGCGATGTCTTCACATTACAAAACCTACAACAAAATAAATCCAAACATCCTACATTCAATACAACTATCATTCAACAAATACTTATAAACTTTACAACTATTCAAATTACCGGCAGCCACGAGTACAAGTATCGCCGAGAATCATAATCGTAGCAGTGGCAGTGCCGGTTTCGCCACCGGACCAGCACTCCCCCAAATTAGGGCATTTGGCTTCTTCGCAAACAGTATGGAGTTTCAATTCTCTCAATTTCTTCTTAATCTGAACGTACTTTTCGCCACCTGGAATGGCTTCTCTCATCCATGTAGGTTTTGGGAGTGGTTTCTTTTTGGTTCCAACTTCGACGGAGTAGGTGTTGTTGGATTGGAGGTCGATGAAATCGCCGAGAGCAGGGGATTCGG